TTTTGGGGATTTGCATTAGAGACAGCATGTTACATTCTGAATTCTGTTTTTTCAAAATCAGTAGATAGTACTCCTTATGAGTTGTGGAAAGGGCGCAAGCCTAGTTTCTCACAAATTCGAATTTGGGGTTGCCCTACACATGTCTTAGTGCAGGAGGCTGGCAAGTTGGAGAAACGATCAGAAGTGAGACTGTTTGTCGGCTACTCCAAGGAAACGAAAGGTGGTTTATTTTATAGTCTTGAGGATCAGAAGGTGATCGTTAGTACGAACGCTAGATTCTTGGAAGAAGACTATATCATAGATCATAAGCCCAGTAGTAAACTTGTCCTAGAGGAGTTAGGGAGAGATATCGATAGTTCCCCACCGAATGCGCAAGTAGATATATCATATAGTACTGCAACATGTAACACTGATAGTGTGCCAGTACAGACGGTACCTCGTCGTAGTGGGAGGGTTTCTACACAACCCGACTGAAGGATAGGTCTTGGAGAGTCATCGGACTCAGTTCCAGAAGACCTAGAATCGGACCCAAGAACTTATGACGAGGCACTCCAAGATAGAGATGCAAATTCGTGGAAGGTTGCAATGAAAGCTGAGATGGGGTCTATGGACACCAATAAGGTCTGAGATCTTGTAGAACCACCCGATGGGATACGTCCCATTGGATGCAAGTGGGTATACAAGATAAAGAGGGGATCGGATGGAAAGGTGGAAACCTTTAAAGCTAGGCTTGTTGCGAAAGGTTATACCCAGAAAGAGGGTATCGATTAAGATGAAACCTTTTCGCCAGTAGCTATGCTTAAATCCATTCGGATTCTCTTAGCTGTAGACTCATATGGATTATGAAGTCTGGCAGATGGATGTTAAGACGACTTTCCTTAATGGGAACCTTCAGGAAGACATCTATATGCAGCAACCAGAAGGATTCATTGCAAAAGGGCATGAGCACTTAGTTTGTAAGCTTAATCGGTCTATTTATAGACTGAAGAAAGCTTCAAGGTCTTGGAATATTCGGTTTGATGAGGTAATCCAATCATATGGATTCACCCAATGTCCGGATGAGCACTGTGTATACAAGAAGATTGGTGGAAGCGTGGTGGTGTTTCTTGTGCTATACGTGGATGGCATACTTCTCATTGACAACAACAAGAAGGAGTTGTCGGACGTAAAGGCGTGGTTGTCTAAGCAGTTTGATATGAAAGACTTGGGTGAAGCAGGACACATTCTTGGTATCAAGATCATTCGTGATCGTGAGAAAAGAATGATGTGCTTATCCCAGTCTTCATACATAGATACTGTCTTGGCCAGATTCAGTATGCAGAACTCTAAGAAAGGTACATTACCTTTCAGACATGGAGTACCTTTATCTAAGGAGTTGTCTCCTAAGACGACTGATGAGATAGAGGACATGAAGACAGTTCCTTATGCTTCGGCAGTAGGAAGTCTCATGTATGAAATGCTATGCACTAGGCCTGATATTAGCTACGCTGTTGGCATGGTAGCGAGATATCAAAGTAATCTAGGAAGGGAACATTGGGCTGCGGTGAAACATATACTCAAGTACATGCGAAGGACTAAGGAGTACATGTTAGTTTACCGTGCAGACAGTTTGTTTCTGTTGGGTTACAGCGATTCTGATTTTCAGTCAGATAGGGACGAGAGTAAGTCAACCTCAGGTTATGTGTTTACCTTGGGAGGTGGAGCCATTTCATGGAGGAGTGCTAAGCAGAAGTGCGCAGTAGAATTCACTATGGAAGCCGAGTACATCGCAGCCTCTAAGGCAGCGAAAAAGGCAGTTTGGC